GACAAGGCAAAGCAAGAAATATGGAGGTAGGGCGGAGCTAAAACAGAGAAATATGGAGGTAGAGCTAAATTAGTGAAGCTTAGTGTAGCCTCTATCCGCTGCCCGGTAACGCTGTTCCTGCTTCCCCAACAGCTAGACAGGGACTGCAAACCTCCACGTCCCCCCCCCTTCCAGAGCATAGTGGAGAAAGGTACCTATCTGTGTGTCTATCTGTAACTGTGTGTGACTGTCTGCCTGTGACTGTGTGTAGCTGTCTGTAACTGTCTGTGTGACTGTCTGTAACTGTGTTTGTGACTATATGTAACTGTGTATGACTGTCTGCCTGTGACTGTGTGTTACTGTCTGCTTGTAATTGTGTGTGTGTGTCTGTCTGTAACTGTGTGTGTGTATGTTTGACTGACTGTCTGTAACTGTGTGTGTGTGTCACTGTCTGTAACTATGTGTGTGTGTGCCTGTAACTGTGTGTGTGTTTGTGTGACTGTGTGTGTGTGGGTGTAACAATCTGCCTGTAACTGTGTGTGATTGTCTGGAACTGTGTGTGAGGGACTGTCTGGAACTGTGTGCACATGACAGACTGTGTGTGTTTGTGTGTGTGTGTGTGACTGACTGGCTGTAAGTGTGTGTGTGCATAAATGGCTGCCTGTAACTGTGTGTGTGACTGTCTGCCAGTAACTGTGTGTGACTGTCTGTAACTGTGTGCAAATGACAGTCTGTTTGACTGCCTGTAACTGTGTGTGTGTACATAAATGGCTGCCTGTAACTGTGTGTGTGTGTGTGTGTGTGTGACTGTCTGCATGTAACTGTGTGTGACTGTAACTGTGTGGGGGGACTGTCTGTAACTGTGTGCTTTTGACAGGCTGTCTGTGACAGTGTGTGTTAATGTCTATGTGACTGTCTGCCTGCAACTGTGTGTGACTGCCTGCAACTGTGTGTGTGACTGTGTATGTGACTGTCTGTAACTGTGTGTGTGTGTGACTCTCTGTAACTGTGTGCATATAACAGTCTCTCTGTGACAGTGTGTGTGACTGTCTGCCTGTAACTGTGTGTGTGACTGTCTATGTGATTGTCTTCTTGTAACTGTGTGTATGTGACTGTCTGCCTGTAACTGTGTGTAAGACTGTCTACCTTAACAGTGTATGTGACTGTCTGCTTGTAATTTTGTGTGTGTGGCTGATTGCCTGCAAATGTGTGTGTGTGTGCAAATGACTGCCTGTAACTGTGTGCATGTGTGTGTGCGTGCATGTGTGTGTCTGTAACTGTATGTGACTGATTGTAGCTATGTACATATGACAATCTGTCTCTGACAGTGTGTGACCGTCTGCCTTGACTGTGTGTGACTGGCTGCCTTTGACTGCCTGTAACTTTGTGTGTATGTGACACTGTCTGTCTTTGACTGTGTATGTGACTGCCTGTATCTGCGTATATGATTGACTGTGTATGTGACTGTCTGCCTGTAACTGTGTGTGTGTGCAGGGAAACCATTAGGGGGTGACAACTATGATGGTTGTTAAAGGCCCAGTGTTCCTGGGGGGCCCGGCTGACCAGGCCCCACATTCCCTATCTATAGTAGTGGCACTACCGCCGGTGCAGTTGCACTGGGGACCCCACGCTGATAGGGCCCATCAGATGGCCCATACACTTAGTACCACCCAATAGGCATATGTGTTCATGGGCTGTTCAGCTCTGTGCTCATGTAATAGTGCAACAGGGCCATTTAAAAATAGCAGCCGAAACTAGTGCTGGGAGGAAATGATGGCCGGTCACTTCCTCCCAGCTTACTCCATGCAGGAGGGAGGAGGCAGTGAGGAGAGCCAGCTGACTCCCATGAGCCCCAGCCACCCTCCTGCACCAAAAAGGTAAGAAACAGGAGGTTGCTTAACAATTAGATGTGTATGTGTGGTTGTCTGTATGATTGTGTGGGTGTTTTTGTATGTATGTGTGTGCCTGTATGTATGTCATTACATTTGTATGTGTGTATGCATGTATGTATGTATGTTTGTCAGTATGTATGTCTGTGTATGCATGTATGTATGTATGTGTATGCATGTATGTATGTGTGGGTCTGTATGTATGTCAATATGTATGTGTGTGTCTGTATGTATATCTGTTTGTCAGTATGCATGTGTGTCTGTATGTATGTCAGTGTGTGTGTCTATCTGTATGTGTGTGTAAGTATGTGTGTCTGTATGTATGTGTGTGTGTGTCTGTATGTATGTATGTGTGTCTATTTGTATCAGTGTGTATGTCTGTACGCATGTCTGTGTTTTAGTATGTGTGTGTAAGAAATTTCTGTGTATCACTGTGTGTGTCCTTTTGTGTCAGTGTGTGTGTTTGTGTGTCAGCGTGTGTGTCTATGTCAGTGTGTATGAGTGTGTGTGTGTGTATCTGTGTGTGTGTGTGTCAGTGTGGGTATATGTGTGTATGTGTATCCGTGTGTAACTATGTGTCATTGTGTGTGTCTGTATGTGTATTGGTGTGTCAGTGTGTGTGTCTGTGTATCTTTGTGTGCCTGTGAATAAGTCTGTGTGGAAATGTATACATTACACACAAATGCACACCTACATTCCTACATTCAAACACCAACATTCACACACATACGCCATACAAAAACATGCTTATATTCAAACACAAATCCTGTGCATGTGTATATATGTGTGTATATATAGCTGTAAAAAACTGAGACAATTCGTATCTTGTAATACCTTTTTTATTGGACTAAAGCGACATGAGTGCAGAGAAGACAGGTTTGATAGAACATAGACACCATTCTTGCAGAGAGGGTCGTAAAAGATACAAATTTTATCTGTTTTTTACATCTACATCACTGGACTAATATGGCTACAATCTCTTCTTGTGTATATATATTCGCTTCTCAGTGGTCTTACGTGCTCCCAACTTGCGCCATTACAGACCATAATGAATGCGGCAGCGAGGCTCATCTTCCTGTCCGCCTGCACCTCCCATGCCTCACCCTTCTGTCAGTCCCTATATTGGGTTCCTATAAAATATAGAGCTCAATTTAAAATTCTGGTTCTTGCATTCAAATCGTTACATAAAGCTGCTCCCACCTATGTATCCTCCCTTATACACAAGTATGTCGCGTCTAGGCCCTTACGATCTGTTGAAGACTTACGTCTATCTTCTGTCCATACTCCCACCTCCGATGCTCGCCTTCAAGATTTCTCGAGGTCTGCAACGTTCCTGTGGAACTCGCTTCCCTCCTCCGTTAGATGCTCACCCAGTCTCCACTTCAAAAAATCGTTAAAAGCCCACTTCTTTATAAAAACGTATCAATTAAACTGTTAATAGCTCCTGACTGATTCCTCTTCTGCAACTGTCACTAGTCTAATACTATCCTTACCTTTTTGTGTCATTTTACCCCACTCCCTCTAGCATGTAAGCTCATTGAGCAGGGCCCTCAACCCCTCTGTTCCTGTGTGTCCAACTTGTCTGGTTACAACTACATGTCTGTTCGTCCACCCATTGTAAAGCGCTGCGGAATTTAATGGCGCTATATAACAATAATAATAATAAATATATATATATATATATATGCAATGCCAGGACCTTTAAATATCCAGAAACATAGAGAGGTAGCTGCACTCATGGTCTTCCTTAAAATAAATTCTTTATTTCATGAAGTTAAAAGGGGGGATAAAGAATGTATTTGATGGAAGACTGTGAGTGCAGCTACTTTACCCACACTGCAGACTTGAAGGTGGGCCCTGTGCGTGGGTTTGAAGGTGAACCCTGTGGGTGGGCTTGGAGGCGGGTCCCTGTGGGCCCAGACATGGGCTGTGTTAGGGGCCAAAAATTTCTAATGGCTGCCCTGTGTGTGTGTGTGTGTGTGTGACTGCCTCTGATTGTGTGCATGTGACTATATTTGACAGTACATGTGTATATCTGTGTGCATCTGACTGTATGTCTGAGTGTGGGACTGTGTGCATGTGACACTGCAAAAATACACACTAGCATTCACACGTGGGCCTACATGCAGTTTTTTTAAATATGAATTAAATACTCCTATACAAACACTACATCTTTATTTATACACGATACATAGATGAGCGGGTGTGACCAGGGAGGGGCACGGTTAGTATTTTTCACTCAGGGCGCCTAAAGGCCTAAGGCCGGCCCTGCTTGTAGTATGTTAAATGTGGATGTGGGGGTACTAGGAGAAGGGAAACCAGGCACCTGTTAACATGAAAGAACGCTGCTGCGATAAACAAGCAGGTTTTTTTTTTATAACTTTTTTCTTTAATCTCGCTCTGTGAGTGTATAACCTTGGACTTGAAAGTATGTAGTTACCTATCACTCTCCAGCCCTTCAAATGTCCTCGGAGGATGTGTGCGTGCTACAATTATACTAGATCCATTAATGTGTTTAGCCTACTTTAATGCACTTTGAAGAGTACAAACCACTGTCAAGGCTTTCTCCGGTGGCTGCCAGATGAACCAGATTAAATGATATTTGGCTTTCTTAGCTCTGGGATATCTATTCTTACTCTTAGCTGAAAGGCTGGATCTCTAACCCCACAAGATTAAATTGTCACTGCATATTGAAATGATTCAAATTTAGGATTCATTTCCAAAGCCTCAAAGTGGTGTTGCCACATTAAGTAAGTACATCAAATGCATTCCTTCCCTATTAAAAATTAATGTTTTTAACCAAAATGCAATTTACTTGTACAGCTATTATAGACAGGTCTCCTCTCTAGTGAAAACAATGTTTTAGGGGACAGAATGTTGCAATGCATCTTGATATTTCTTGAATTTTTGAAAGACAAATGTGCAAATCCTGACATGTTGAGTAATCGCTTTACAATTATGATGAAAATGTAAAAATGAGTAATGTAAATTTAAAGTGATTTAGCAAAATATGTGATGTATAGGAACATTTATGTATGTGCATATTATGATCAGATTGCAAATGTTCTAAAACTGAAACAGCATTTAAAAAAACCCATTTTTTTATAGCCTTCTTGGTCATATAAGGTGTGCATGTATTGAGAAACATCATTCGGCCTTAACCTGCAACTATCACACTCCCTTGATGGTTGAGCCTCCAGGTTTAAAGGACCACTATAGTGCCAGGAAGACATACTCGTTTTCCTTGCACTATAGCACCTTGAGGGTGCCCCCACCCTCAGGGTCCTACTCCCGCCCGGCTCTGGAAGGGGGAAAGGGGTAAAAACGTACCTTTTTCCAGCGCTGGGCGGAGAGCTCTCCTTCTCCGATCCTCCTCTTCTCCTCCCCGTCGGCTGAATGCGCACGCGCGGCAAGAGCTGCGCGCGCATTCAGCAGGTCACATAGGAAAGCATTCATAATGCTTTCCTATGGACGCTTGCGTGCTCTCACTGTGAAAATCACAGTGAGAATCACGCAAGCGCCTCTAGCGGCTGTCAGTGAGACAGCCGCTAGAGGAAATAGGGGAAGGCTTAACCCATTCACAAACATAGCAGTTTCTCTGAAACTGCTATGTTTATAAAAATATGGGTTAACCCTAGCTGGACCAGGCACCCAGACCACTTCATTAAGCTGAAGTGGTCTGGGTGCCTAGAGTGGTCCTTTAAGTGAGGGCTTAGTTGCACAAACAAAAAGGTCCATCTGCATAGTTCAGAAGCAAGATGCCGCAGTACACTAGTTGACAGATAGAGAGAGAATGCCAGCAAAAAGGATCCGTACTGGTTAATACCTATCTATGTGCCATATGCAAGGAATTATATGGCAAGAAGAATAAATTCACCAGGGTTAGTTGTGCCATATGCAAAATTAATACAATGTCAATCATAAGGAGTACCATGATGTTGGGGAGAAGTATCTGGAGGTTTGATCACTGATAATGTAAGACCGAAGAAAGAAGGCCAGACTTCAGGTGAGGACAAATGCCATGATCCACTTCAATTAAAAATTCCTTTATTCATGTACAGGACATGGCTGAAACACCAGGGGGAGCATTGGATGCCCTCTAATGCATTTCATGCCTTTATGGCATTTCAACAGAGACTAAGACGCATAAAGAGTACGCCCCCTGTTGTTTCAACCGTGTCCTGTACATGAATAACTGCATTTTATTTTAAATGGATCATGCCGTCTTTCTTCAACTGAGGTCCAGTATTTTCTTTTATTTTGCCAAGGCGGTATATGAGTATATGATAACTATTAGCAAGGCAATATAGTATTTATGAAATTTGCTTACATGATGTACCTGCTGTGCATTACAGACACAGAGCAAAGCAGAGCTGACTATTACCACTGCTAACTTAAGCAATCTATATATGTTGTAGATTTGGAAAGATTTGGTTTATGGCAATAGTTGTCTAAAGGTAGATCCCCAGATTTTATGGAACTACTACTTACGTTATGATGTGCCAGGTTTAGGAAATGCAAGGTATTATGGAAATTATAGCTTTAAAGGGTCTTGGAATCTACCATTTCTGTATCCCTGCTCTTGGACCTCACCTGTGTGCATACTTGCATAATAGACCAAAAAAATCGAATTATTTAGTGTAGTTGCTTCGTATTTGCTTAGTAACTAAAATATCCTTCTTGTGCCCAATGCAACCAGATGCATTACCTCTTGCGTCATTTTAACCCACTTCCTTGTTTGAGCAGAGACCTCAACACCCTCTGTTCCTATGTGTCCAACTAGTCCATACATTGTACAGTGCTGCGGAATCTGTTGTCGCTTTATAAATAATAAAAAATATTTATAACACCACCATGGTGTATGTATAGAGTCAAAACTAACTAAAATATGTTCTGAATTCTCACATTCCTCCCACTCACGAAATGTTCTTCTGCCCACCAGGTGGCTACTGAAGCAGTGTCTGGTGGTAACTGCTTGTATCATATGGGGCTACAGTGAAAGGGTTAAAGTGTCAGAATGTACGCACTCGTAGTTTCACAACTGTGTATGTTTAATAGGAAGCAGCTGGCTGGGCCCTCAACACATGCAACACTGATGAGCTCCCGAGGCTGCAAAAATAAACAGGCAGCATGCTTCACCTCTGCTTGGGCCTGACAGATTTACAGAGAAGTGAAGGGGAAAGAGGCACAAGAACACTGCAAGCACTTTCCTCCTGCCCAACTGTAAAAGTTCGCAGACGCACAGCTTATTATTACATCCAAAGGTCTTAGGGAACCGATAAATTTCCGACAGCTACTTTTCTCTCCTTTTGTCTCCCTGGCATCTTAATGCTTTTCTATCAGCATCTGAGCTATGATCTTTCACTCCAATTAACCCTTTCTGCACCTTCTGAGCTCTGACCCTTACATTTCTCTTAATTATTCATTTTAAACTTAACGATGACATTTTATATTATTTCTATTCCAATGCAATTAAATGTTAAAGGGTTACTCCAACCCTATTTAAAAATTTAATCATTCAATTTAGAATGTCCTGTTGGGCATTTCTAATCAGGTTCCCCTGTTATAAATGAACACACAAAGCTAAAAGGTGTCCAGAATTCAGTGCCATACAAAGCTACCTGCACTCCTTCCCATGCCTCATTTGACATCACAGCCTCCTTCATGCATTACAATCAAATGCTTCTCAAGGAGAAGTATTTGATTGGACTTTTCACACTGGTTCTGAGCGCATGCATGTGCTCAGAGCCAGTGAGGAGAGGGAGCAGTGCTTTATTTAAATATTATATAAATTACATTCTCCAAAACAGAGCAAGGTGGGGAGGGCTGATCAAGCTCCCCCTTGCAGGTGCATTGCCCAAGTCATCTGTGCAGGTGATACAACTAGCCCCTGGCACATAGGTGCACATATCTGAAATGCTGCACATACAGACTCCTACCATCACGACCACTTCTAAAAATAGAAGTGGTGATTGTGATTGGAGTATCCCTTTACTGAAATCAAGTAAGAACAACTTATTTTCCTGTATTGTCACTCACTGTAATATGGCCAAGTGGGACAGGGCAGCCGAACTTTCAAACGGCTACACTAGTCATAATTCATGTTTGACTGGGTTTTAATGATATTAATATATGTGAAATACTAGTGTGCATTATTGCTGTGGAGCTCTGGTATAACGTCAGACACACCAAGCATAATGAGCACCTACAAAAATTCCATTGGGATAGTATAGATGGACAGAGGGAGGGCCCAAAACAGGGACTGTTCCTCTTAAATATGAACACTTGGAAGGTATGCTTTCTTTTTCCAATAGACATATGTATTTGTCGTATCCTCCCTTAAAAAATGATTTGTTTAACAAGTAATCGATTTGTCCAACATAAAACCTCTTTTGATTCAGTTTTAAACTGATCAATCCTCTTAAAAAACAAATTGAAAGGGGTTCTATGACGGACTAGTCTATATGTTGTCAAACAAAGCAGTATGTTTAACCCCTTAAGGACCAAACTTCTGGAATAAAAGGGAATCATGACATGTCACACATGTCACGTGTCCTTAAGGGGTTAAAGGGATAATATTGGCTCCAGAACCACTACAGCTTAATGTAGTGGCTGTGGGGCATGCAGCTTGTCCCTGCAGGCTGAGCATTGTAAATGCAGCCTTTTCTAAGAAAAGACAGTGTTTACACTGCTGTCTTTTGTCACCTCTAGTGACTGTCACTCTGTCAGCCACTAGAGGAACTTCCTGGGTTTTATCCTACAAACTCTGAATGTAAACATTGAACACTCCTCATAGAGATGCATTGATTCATATATGCATGTATACAGAGAAGCTGATTTGTGCAGTGTGGAAATTTAATGCTCATGGGCACTAGCCTCCCAATGCTTCACTTTGAGAAGTGACGGTCACAACCAGGAAGGCCGCACAGAGACTGGTGTGCCGGGGATATATAGTTAGATAAATATATATATATAATTTATTTATTTTTTGGGGGGGGGGTGAGACATTTTATTGTGCTTTAAATAAGAAAATACATTTTACATTTAATAAATAAAAGTGGGTTAAATGTGCTTAACACTTAGAAACTAAGTAAAACTGAAACAAACCTCAACACAAAAACAAATAGAATTGATCTTTATAATACATTATATTTCTGCTGTTTTAAGAGCTACTATGGCTTGCATGATTATTTTATTATTATTTTAATTGTCTTAATACATCAAGTTATGGAAATGTGTTAATGTTTAAAACAAAATATATCTTAAGTTTCTTTTGTATTTTAAAAACATTGTTGAAAATATACCACCTTCCTCCTATAGCATGATGTTTTTGGAAGAAAACAAATTGAGGATACCATATTTAATTTTTGTAGCACTAATGACTAGTTTTAAGAATAATAATTACAATGCATTCCAATTCAATTCAAAGGTATTACTAGTTAAAATAGCATATGAAATTGTGGGTCTTTATTTCCCTGCTCAGCTCACCCACCTGTTCATGTTTTTTTTTTTAAATGGTTTAGTGAATAATGAAATGTAATTACAGATTATTGGGTAACATAGATTACTGGGCGGAATTCCCATCTGATGAAATCCTTCACGTTTTCAGATTATTTATTTTTATTACTATTTAAATATCATAAAGAATTATAATATACCGTATAAGTAATTTCATGTGGATATCATAAATAGATAACACGTCCCTTACTACAGTGCAATTAAGCACCACAGGGCTGCAGAGCAATTATGAAACAGTGACACAGTGTTTCATCATCTCGATAGTTACGACTAAAAAGCCAATAGAAATCTTTGTACTAACATGACCAAATCCTTCTTGCTCTGCAGGGATTTGTGATGGTAAAGTGGGCTTTTTATTTTCACTACAAGCAGAACTGACTCAGTGCTTCAATTAAAATGTAATCTCAAAAGAAATCTCCCCAAAGGCCAATTTCTATAGAAAGCCACTTGCGTGGATTTTATTGGCTCCAAACAGGGCCATTGCTACTTATAGACAACGTGTCTTCATCTGATTTTAGTCTTGGGAAGTTTAAATACGTCAGGTCTCAAAGTTTAACTCCTTCCTGTGTGCTGAATGTTTGTTTTTGTACTTTGCTTCAAATCTGTTTCCAAGTCATAGGAAATGAATATTAATGAAACATCTGATTGGAAATGTTTCTATATTAAGTCATGCAATATGTTTGCAACACAGACCATGTCTTGTAATACAAGATGAATGTATATCTTAGAAACTCTGAAACGGATGCCAGATAAGAACCAAATAGACCACCCAGATTGCACTCTAACTTCCTTGGTCTCATTGCACTGTTTTTACTTTA